CCTATACTAACGATAAATGTATTCTGCTTGTATTAAAAAAAGTATTCTGCTTGTATTAAAAAAAGGGGGAAAACCCCTCAAAAACTTATTTTCTAAAGTAAAGCATTAATAAAGTTATTACATGTTCCAAATAAAAGTATACTAAATGTTAAGATCTATCATAAAAAATGGCACTCTGTTGCCATGGCAACGCGGTTACTAAGGGAAAATGTCAAATTAGTCTCTTCACCCTGGCAAAGATTGCAGTCAATTAGAATGATACTTTGAGCTGATTTTTTTCTAACTTATGGTTAAAAGATAGATCTATGCAATAAGCAGACAGTTTTTGAAAATAACTTTTCTGTCAGGTAGTAGGCCTGTTTAATTTTGGCATAAATTTTAAGCACAAAAATGATAGATATTTTTTTTAATTTCTTTAGTTTAAAAAAAAATTTTAAAAAGTTGTCTGCTCATTGCATACATCTTTATGAGAGGAATACTTCCTGAAAATTTCATTAAAATCGGTCAAGCGGTTCTCAAGATACTTCTGCCGGGAGATTAAAAACACGCGTTCTGAGAAAAATGCCAAATAAGTTGAAATTGTGATGAAAAATATTATATAATAACAAAGATACAAAAAATATAATATAAAAAGAGCATACTGATTGTATTTTTTAATCATGATCACCAGCCCCATACAATTTCCCTTCTTTCTGTTCAACTTTGTCAAATTTTTTAAGCTTGCGGCTTCTTAAAATCATCCTTTTTTTTTTGATGGTGTCTTGATTTTTATACTCTGACATCATAACTCTTTTCTGGTTCAGGTAATTGCATCCAGAAATGGTATGTTGCCCTGGTATCATATTAAGTCTTTTAAATATAAGTATACTAGACTTTAATCCTATATTAAAGGCACCAATAGCATCATAGAGTCCAAATTTCAATTGCGTAAGCGAAACATACTTTGACTTAGGTATTCTAGACCATATCATTGCATTAAAACTTTCATTTTGATTCTGTGTTCTTCCATGAAGCAAACGATTTAAATAAGCATCTGATGTTAGTTCTACATAAATGGGCTTTAACTTGTGTACTATTTCAATAGGAAGACCTGGTCCGGGTTTATACTCTTTGGTTCCATTAGCTTTATCTCGATTGTATTTACACCAACTATCTTTTCCTGTGGGACAATGCGGGTAATGCCAATTATTTTTGCTTGAAGATACTACATGAAATAAGCTAGCCAAAGCTGAAGATCTCATACCTTCAAGGTTGCCACAATTTTGTCTAATGCAAATATCAAAATAATTTTGCAACCGATCAACTGTAGCGTTTTTTAAACCGCCTTTACCATTTAAACCCTTGACTTGCTTTTTTAATTGTCTACAATCCAATGCGCTTTTGAAAATGTCCAATACAATCTAGTTTAATTACTTCAATACCCTTGTATGTGTTTTTGACAGAAGTGTAGCTTTTACTATCACCATCACCCAAGTATTCTGTGTATCGTAAATTAAATTTTTGCAAAGAGCGATTAAATATCTTTATTGCCCCAACTGTTTCCATTCCACCGGCTGATCCTTCATAGTTTTTATTGCAAATATGTGATTTTTTTGCTGTTAGCTGCTGCTTTGAATTACCAACATCTTGATTTTTGTCACATATTTTACACTTTCTAGATAATGCTTCAACATCTAAAACCTTCCCATTTTTAATTGATAATGCTGTCGTCACCCCATTGTGTGAATTAAATCCTCTTTTTTGCCATGTTCCATCAACAGAAACTCCAATATCTAAGATCTCATTAAGAGATTTGCCTTTTCTGAGTTCTTGTACAGCTTCATTCATAGTTTCAACAGCAACAGTTTGTGCTGCAGTTGCCAATTTTTGAACAATAACATTATAGCTTTTATTGCATAATCCTTTTGGGATATTCATAAGAGTGGCAAACCGATGTAGACCAGCTTGGCCTTGACCAAGTGTTCTCATGGCATACACTAATCTTTTGTTAATATCAAACCCTGCTACATTTTTTGATGTGTCAAAGTCTAACTTGAAACCACAAACACAATTTAATGATAAATTTGATGCATATCCTTTGCAAGACTTTTTATATTCGCTTAATGACAACTGTGATGGTCGCAAACATTCTGGACACCCAAGTTTATCAAAAATGGAAGCAAGAATTTTTAAAGCAATAAACCTGTAGCCACTGACACATTTTGAGTTTCCACTTGGAACCATTACTTACTTTACTTTTTTTTTTGATGCACTTTTAAATACACTTTCACTTTCAATATTTACAGAGTCTACCATATTTTCATTATTACTATTAACATTATTTACACCAATATTTACACATTTTTCTTGCTTTCTTAAACCAGAAAATGTACATTTACGTTTTCGATGACGTTTTGTAGAAAATTTTACTCTATCACTTTTATATTCAGTTTTAGACTTGTCCATTTTTTTTAATTATATAGAAAGCTTGAGTTGATTGTGTAGAAGCTTGAAAAGATGACTAATTTTAGCACTATCAGTCAAATATGTGGTTTTAAAGTATGGCTTTAGAGATAATGGGAAGCATTTCAAACTAAACTGCAAAAAAAAAAACAAAACAAAAAACGGATAAATAGCTATACTAGATGTTATTCACCGTTTTTCTGTAGCTAGGGGCGTTGCTAGGTAATTTTGAACTCAGGTGGTTGTACAAAAGTGTCATTTATTGATATAAAAAATTGCGATTTTCGAATAAGATTATTACCATTTGATTTCTTAATAAATTTACTTTTAAAATATCTGGAAAAAAAAAATTGAAAAAAAAATTTATTTCTGAGAGGTTTTCCCCCTTTTTCCCCCTTTGTTTTTAAGGTTTTTACTTCATTAAGTAAATAAGAGAGGAATATTAAGTAGGTTTTACTTTATGTAAAAAATTTTTTTTTTAACCAAATAAGGATTCAAATACTGTATGAGACGTTTAAAAACTCATGTCCGTAGATTATGCGTATATTGCTTTCCATCGGTTGGATAACTTTTAATCCAATCGGTTGGATAACTTTTAATCCGGTTGTATTTATTTTACTAACAAACTGGTTAAAAATTTAAAAAAACTTTTTTGCTATGATTTTATGCACATCAATGCTGTAACCGCACAAACATAGTGACATGTTGTGACTGCAAAAATGTATTTTTTTTTTCAATTTCTTTTTCTTTTTTATATGTCAATATATATATATATATATATATATATATATATATATATATATATATATATATATATATATATATATATATATATATATATATATATATATATATATATATAATTAACCTAAATAGACAACATTTAAGCAGAAATTTACTATAAATATTATGAAGATGTTTCTAAGTACCAGTAAAATAGTTTTCAGAAATGGTAACTCTATTTTCATTAATACCTGCTTTTGTTGCTTTGTCCAAATGGAAAGTTTCACAATGTATAATGCTAGCTGTACCACAGCTCTCTGGGAATTCCAAATAAAAGTGTAGAAAGTACCTGTCACTGTGGCTACAATAGAAAGATTGTTTTCGAAATTGAAGATAATAAAAGTTTATTTACGCAATTTTACAGGCAAAGAACGTTTGTATAATTTATATTAGGAATTAAAACGAAAACAGCCAAAATTATGGAAATCAATAATGTGATTACAAAGTTGGGTAATTTAAAATAAAAGAGGAAAAATTTATAGTTTTAGATATACTAGATTTACGTGATTTCAGACGTGTAACAGTTTTTTCAATAATATAAAACCTGAAGTTCCGCCATTGTATTTAAAGTACCATGGAAAATAACATGTTATTTTGAATATATGCTAGTTACATAATTATTAGTTTTACTTTGATTATGTTGCTTTTAGATGCTTTTTGTATTTAAGAAAAAAGTTATTTATTCAAATAAAAGAAAAAACGCTTTGCAAAGCATTTTTTTTCCATATATACGTACATATCTTCGCATCTTTTTATATGTTTTGCAAATTTTGCAAAAAACCTATTATACATAAAACCTATTATCATCATAAAAAACCTATCATTATACATAAAACCAATCATCATACATAAAAAACCTATCATTATACATAAAGATCAAAGAGTATGATACCTAAAGGTATAAACATTATTTATAAATTTTTAATTTTTTTGTGCCTTATATTAAACTAGATCAAAATTCATTGACGCATATCAAATTTTAAGCAAAAAAAAATTTATCGTTTAAAAGTTTATTATTCAAAGTTATTTCAGGGAGTAGATGAGAGAAATTTTAAACTTTACATGGTCATAAATGTTAAATGAAAAGAGATTTTTTGATGAAATTTGAAATCGGACTATGTATTTTGATTTATTTTATGACTTCGAACTTCAAAAAACAATTTTATGATATTAGGAGAGGTAGTTCTAGTATGTGGGCAATTAGGAATCAAAACGGGATTGGGTTAGCTCCAATTACTTTGACCATTTTCAAGTCATCCTCATTAGCCACAAGTATCAACATACTAAAAATTTGAGTATGCATCATGATCATGACTTTTACTTAATAATTTTGAACAACAAAAATACAAGGTATTCGCCAAAGATACGTGTTTCTTCCCAGGCCTCCAGTGAAAAAAAAGTTTTTTTTTACATTTTTGGAATAAGAAAGTTTTCGAATGATAAACAGCAACAAAAAATCTTTAGGGATGCTGCAAGGTCTTAGAGCATGTTCTTATGCACCGTGAGCTTACTTTATTTTCTTTCGGATAATTTTTGTGTATATAACCATTGTGTTCTAAAAAAAGGTTATATTCATTAATATTCCTTTTTCAGAGAACTCCTTAGAGTAGTCTTAAAAAAGAAATGTTTTCTTTAATCTATTTACGTTATTTTTATTGAACTTATAAAAATAAGAAAAATCAATAGCACTCCATACATTACCGTTTTTTTTAAATAAAAAAACAATTCAGAACAAAATAAAAATTCTCACTAAAGAAAATTTCAAACCATAAATATTAAATTAAGAATCTTTCCTATAATATTTCAATATAAAATTATACAATGCAGTAGTTATATTTGACAAAAAGGAAAACAGAAATTAAGATAATAAAATTTACAAAATAAAAAAGAAATGTTGCTTGTTCATATAAATCCACCACCATCAAAACGATCATCACCAAACCTGGGAGGTTGAAATAAATCAGGATGCGGTCTTCTAGAACTAGTATACTCATCTTCCCCAGTAAAAGGTCCATAAGGATCGAACCGTGCACCAGGAGGTCTATACGCACTTCTACCACCACGTGGGTTAAAAAATCCTTGAGGCATAGAAGGACCTGGAAAACCAAATCCGAAACCTGGTGAAGGATAGAGATCATGAACACCTCCTAAGATAATATATAAAAATGCAAACATCAAACTATAAATAGAAAAAAAGATTTAATAATCAAAGTATAAAAATTAAAATACATTCATAATTACGCACATTGTAGAAAATACAGAAAGATAAGGTAACTTAATAAAGTATAAAACTTTTACAAAACATTTTACACTTAATTTGATTTTTTAAAACTAATTTTCCTAAAAACTAACTATTAAAGATTTCAGAAAAAATTTAGTAGTATATTCGTTTATAACATTTATAATATATCGAAGATGAAACCAAGAGTTTAAATGCATTAAAAAAGTTTAAATTTATTGTGTTGCATTTTCAAATTTAAAGGACATACACAAACTTAAAATGATAAATAAAAAATACTGAAAATGATATATAAATTTAAATAAAGATTGAATTAAAAAAACTAACCAATTATTCCAGGAACAATAGGACTTGGATAATCAAATCCATCATGACGATTTCGAAAGTCAGGTGGAAAATTCTGCTGTTGCGGTCTCGCAAAATATTTCATGCGTTCAACCTTTTCTTGACGTTTTTTTATTACGTAACGCTTAACAGCCTAAATTTAAAAATAAATTTAATAATATAACCAGTATATGTAAATGGTTAACTTTAATGAAGTGAAAAAGTTGTTGAATAGAAATATCAGAAGGTTGAAAAGTTATAATGTTGAAAGGTGGAGAAAACTTACATTTTTGTAATTTCCATCACAATGTGTTTGGTGACCTTAAGATAAGGTTTTAATTTTTAGTTTTTTTTTTACCAAAACAACTAACATGTTCTCGTAACAACAAATATTTCAGTATACTGGAGGTATAAAACCATGTCAGCTTGGATTGAGTTAACTACACTGATACTAAGTTATAACTACGTTGATGTTCACTCAATGCTCTTTTTATTGATCAATTTCATAATTTTATAAAAGTTATAAAGTGAAAATAAAATTAGACATTTTAGACATGGTGTATTTAACTATTTAGATATAGTTTGTCTCCGTTATACAGATTTGTTGCCTTGAAAACAAATAACTTAAACAATAAAAGTTTTATTATGTGTCATGTTAAAAAATAAATGGTATGGATATTTTAATATTCATTATTATAATTATTATTATTATTAATTAAAAGTAAAATGTATCAAATATTAGAACTATTAAATAGGATACTATAATAAAGTAAACTATAACTTAAATTTTATTGTTATACTGTTAACTTTATTGTTACTGTATGTATTTTTGTTGTTGAATATAAGTTAATTTTATTACAATGTCTTAATGTTATCTATGTGGTGAATTGGTGAATTATCATCTTATAAAATAATGGAGTAATCACATAAACTAAGATTATCTAACAAAATAGTAGGGAGTAAATGCATTTTTGAATTATAAAGAAAAACCTCACTCATGAATAGAAAATATTTTTCATAATTATTCAATTGAAGAGTTATTTAGCAACTATACAAAAGAAGGTTCGAAAGTGTTAAAAAGCTGAAACAAGGCAAAATTAGAACATGATTCATGATTATGTCAGTGAAAAAAATAATCTTTTCGTTGTATTTTATTTGTTTAAAAATATTTTATTAACTTTAATTTTTGTGATTCAGTTTAAAAATTTAATTTAAATATTTAAAAGTATTAAACCCAATATTGATTTTTTTATCTTTTATTTTTAAAGCGAAAATGATCTTAGTTCAAATGAAACGAAAAGCTTGGCAAAAAGCATTGTTATAAAATATTCAGTTCTTTCTTGCAAAACAACATTAAACAGATGTGTTTACATTATTTAGCATAAGTGTGCATTTGTAAACATTATGGAACTGTAAGATTGTGTATAAACTAACTTAAAAACTTTTTTTAAAAATAACAACAACAAACAAAGTCTACTGTTCAAAGGTCACTTATAGTAGCTTGCCCAAAATGTGAAACAAAAGCATCACAGACACCTGTTTATTATAAAGCATTAGATTTGGATAAAAAATATAAAGAATGTTTTAAAATCTCTATGATAGTCTTTTATTATTAAAATTTACACTTTTTTATCCAATTACTTATTTAGGTTTTTTCCAATTTTTGTAGAGTTGTAATGACTAATCATTTACCAAGAAGTCCAATAACAACAAACCTATTTGAATTAGTACAGCTCATGCATAAAACAAAAGAAAATAGATATGTTTATACAGAATACATTAAAAACTAAAATATAATTGTTCAATAAACTTTATATTCAACAAAATGAATGTCACACCCTGATGTTGCTATAGCTTATTATAAATATTAATTTAAATTTAAATACTTAAATAAATTTAAAAAGCCCAGTGTGAAATCTCTAGAACATTTAGCGAGGAAAAAAATTTTTTGTTCTTAAGGTAAACTTCTACTTGTCCGTCACAAAAGATGTAACTGATTTTAAATGTGATGTCATTGTTTTGCAAATTATTAAAAAGATATGAAAGTTTATAGTTAAAACTTTAGATCAAAATTAATCAGTGATTAACTTGCAAAATTAATCACTGATTAATTTTGCAAATTTATCAGTTCTCAGTTATCTTCTGAGCAAATAAAGTTTACTAATCAAACAAATTTCAAATTTGTTTAAAACAAGAATTCAATTCTTCACTCCAAAATGCTGTATTGTCAGTAAGCTAAGCAGAGAAAAAATGAGGCAAAAATAATTTGAAAACCTTTGACATATTTTTACATTGCATATTATATATTTCAAATTCAATCTAATTTATCTTATATGACCAAAAAAATATCTCATAATGCAGATATTATGAGTAGATTCAAAGTTGTTTTTATGTTTTAAATGTCTAAGCCAAGTTTTTTCATTTCGAACGAACCTCTTCACAACTGATGGAATTATTTTACAAAGTCACCACTTCAAAACAACTTTTTTTAATGAAATTTCTGTAAACAAAATTTGATTTAATTTAATTGAGTGGTGAAAATTTTTTTAAATATTTTTATAAACAATTTTTTTAAATGTTATACCCTTTAAAAGAGTTCTAAGGATTGGCAGAAATTTTTTGTTTTTTTTTTGTTATTAACCTCTAAGTAACGTAATAAAAAAAAAAAAATTATTTTTTGACACTATGAACAAAGCCTAAAGTTTGACAAATTCTTGAAAGTTTTCTCAATAACCAATAAACTGTTGTTTTGCATTTGCATTTATGCAAAATGACTGATATATTTCACAGATTAAACATTGAATTATATACATGCATTCAGATCTTGCAACTGTTTGCAAGATTTATAATCAATATTTCAGAAAAAGAGATAATCGTAACTATATAACGATACATACTATATCATTTAACCCTGTAAATTAAAACCAGCTTACCATACAATAATTTATAAATTTTTTTCCATACATCCTCATCACAACAAAGTAGATTCCAGTTTTTGCTCACACAACTCATTCTTCCAAGTGTTGAATAGTCGAAGAATAAAATCAGTTTTTGCTAAACAATTTTATAAAAAGACAATCAACATACTAAACATACAAATACATACAAAATATATATATTATATTTACTCATATTCACTGCCAGCCATTATTATATTATTTTTTTATATATAATATTTTTTTTATATATAACATTTTTTTTATATATAATATTTTTTTTTATATATAATGTTTTTATTAATTTATAAAAAGTTATTTAAGTAAAATATATAAATATTTTTATATTTTCTAGACATTTTACTGATCTAAAGCAATTAACATCATCATGTATAATAAACAAAGTTCACTAAAATACAATTCAGTGGGACCAAATTAAATTCTACTATTCTTTCTTCAGATCTCAGTGTTAATGGGTACTATCCTTTGATTTGTAAAGACTCCAATAGCCACATGCTTGGCTTGGGGGTATACATATGCATAAATTCATCATTTGTCCGGTTCAATCCTTTGACCATTCTTTTATGTGCTTCCGCTTAGCATCTCTTCCCTCTATCACCTTTCTCTTTGTTCTTTATTGTTCTTCCCAAGACTGCACTTTTTATAATATAATTTCTGATCAAATTGACCATGCCCTCTCCCTCTTTAGCTCTCTGTCAATATTTTCGTTATAACTGACTTTTTTATAATTTCAACAAACAGTACGATTGGTGCTTAAGCAAGCTACCATCGCTTGTTACACTTACCAAAACACAATCTTGTGTGACTTGTTGTTCAGCAAAAACAAATCATTTAAATGTAACTTTGTGCTCAAAAACGTTTCTTATTCTAGTTTATCTCCTAAAATATCAATAGAATTTTTTCCCTCCTCAGGTTTTCCTGTCTATTTACAATTTTTTAAGATTTGGTTCATTTACTCTTCAACTCTTTTTACTTTCTAAAAACTTCCAAGTTATGTAACAGTTGCATACAGCCATGTGAAAAGTGTTGAAAAATTATTTTGTTTTTTCTCTGCACCACTATTTATTAATCAATTTTGCAGTTAATTTGATTTAAAGAAGAGAAAAATAGTACATTATAAACAAAATATTATAAAGTTTCTGTTATGGTGAATAAATATATAACTTGTATTATATGCAATTAACAACATTAAAATTATTACTTACCATATAACATTATTTCAATATTTATACATTAAATAAATACATACCCTTTATGCAAGGATTACTGTTATTCTCTGTATAAAGATATCTACCTTTTAGTTAGTTGAGAAAATTTACTCTTAAATATATAAGCAATCACTACACATAAATATATGTAAAGTTATTCAATTCAAGCTTCATCTTAACACAAAACTGTAAATGTGCAACTGTAGATTTTTAGATTGTTATTAGTATAAATTGTTTTTTTAAAACATTAATGAAAATCACTAGAGTGTCATAGAAACAATTATAAATGCAAAACATGCGCTGAATTTGTTATTTTTTCAGTTTATTGAATATAGTCATTAATTTACTAAATTCCATCATTAGATTACAAAATATTTTCATTAGTTTACTAGATATGAAAAGTTTACTTCTAGATAAAATTATTTGACAGATTTGAGAAAAAAATATAAAACAACTTACAAACTAAAAGAAAACAAAAAACTAACTTTGATTTCAATTGGAAGTGTGTCCAAACTTTTCTCATCTTCTGGAATTCCACATACTGCAGACAAAAAAAAAAAAAAAAATACACACACACAAATAAAGAAATGATATCATTCAAAATAGTGAGTTAAATAACAAAAATTACGCTTTATTTTTATGTTCTTATAAATATTGTAAGGAAAAAGAAACTCACTTGCTTTAATATCATCACACAAGCGTAATACAACAAAATCTTTTACTTTACTTGAAAATTTTGAAAAATTCTTTAACTCCCAACCTAAAAACATTATTGTAACAAAAATAAATATTGATAATTTTGATAACAAAAATAACATTTTTTGAAAAAACAATATCAATATATCTGTTGCCAGAAAAAATGTAAAAAAAAATGCAATTAATTTGCAACAAAATACGCACATTTTATGAATACACAACAAAATCATAATTTTTTTTTGAAAAACAATCATTTACTTTTATTTGGTTACATAATGAAGTTTTTGACTCTATACATATTTTTAGAAAGGAAAAAAAAAATTGAATCTTTCCAGTGAAACATGAAAAATTTTTAGAAAATTTTCCTTTTTCTATGGAACTGCCTTTGTAAAGATAGAAACAAATCAGTATCAACCACTGAATTAGTTGTATGTATTCATCAAAATCCTGACTGGAGCCTATATATATATATATATATATATATATATATATATATATATATATATATATATATATATATATATATATATATATATATATATATATATATATATATATATATATATATATATATATACCCTGCCTAAGAGTTCATGGTTGAGTAAAGGCTGGAAAAATATTCATCTTGGGCAAACATTAAATGCATCTGGCTACTGTCTTGTAAAAGGCCTTCTGGGCAAAGACTTAAGGAGCAAACAGATTTTTTTTGTTGACCAGCATCGCATCCATTCTTCATCATTAGGCTGGCATAGATGTATGTTTCTCTGTTTTTATGACTAGGCAACCCATTATATTATCTCCTAATCAGACTACAGGTTTAAAATTTAGTTTTATTGTTTTTAAGCCATCTAATAGTTAAGTTTCTTAAACTCTGTGGTATCTCTCAGAGAGGCTGGTTCCAGACTGCACTCTTTTCAATGTTATTTTTGATCAAAAAAGCTTCTTTATCCATCAGCCAATCAAAAAAGCCCTCTCTCTTTTTAAGCCATCTAATAGTTAAGTTTCTTAAACTCTGTGGTATCTCTCAGAGAGGCTGGTTCCAGACTGCACTCTTTTCGATGTTATTTTTGATCAAAAAAGTCCTCTTTTTTTGAAAAAAAAGACTAGAGCCAAAAAACACTAGAGAGAAAAAAAACACTAGAGCCAAACCATTCAGTGTGATGAGTATCAAAGTCACCAACAACAACAATATTGGCTGATGGATAAAGAGAGAGGGCTTTTTTGATCAAAAATGCCCTCTTTTTTTGAAAAAAAAAGAGGGCTTTTTTGATCAAAAATAACATCGAAAAGAGTGCAGTCTGGAACCAGCCTCTCTGAGAGATACCACAGAGTTTAAGAAACTTAACTATTAGATGGCTTAAAAAGAGAGAGGGCTTTTTTGATTGGCTGATGGATAAAGAGAGAGGGCTTTTTTGATCAAAAAAGCCCTCTCTCTTTATCCATCAGCCAATATTGTTGTTGTTGGTGACTTTGATACTCATCACACTGAATGGTTTGGCTCTAGTGTAAGCAGGCATTAAGACCCACAAATTTTGCCTTTCTCAATCTCAAACACAAATAGTCAACTTTCCAACTCGCTTTCCAGACATTTTATAATTAAAAAGTATGCAATAAGGAATTGAGAGTCCAATTTTGAGCAATTTTAATTTTTTAATGCCAACCAAATATACAAGCCTTCCCAGGAGATGTGTGCAGTTTATTACTACTATCCAATTTTGTCATTGTTTTTCTTTTAAATTTTGCTGCTCACTTATTTGCTTTGTAACCATTTATCAGGCTTGGTGGGAAAGTGGGTGCAATCGCACTCGATAATTGATCACGGAAATAATATTTAGTTGCAAAAAACCGGCCAGATTTTTTAGTCGTTTTGAGAACATTTAAAAAACAAACAAAAAAGCGCAATAAGATTAACTGGACTGATGAGAGACAAAAAAAAAAAAACTTTTAACGCGAAAAAACTTTAACCAAAAGAAATACGATTAGAGCAAATATTTTTGAAACGTCGCTCTTTTATAATTTTTTCTATAAAATTAAGCAACATTTTTAATATAAAGTAACAACTTACTATTAATGATTGTTTAATAAGGAAACAAATGTTCTTCGATTTATCAAAGAGTATATATAATTTTCATTTATATACTTATGTCTTATTACAGGATTGAGGTGGGGAGTAGAACGGGCTATACCCCCGGGACTCACAATGTTAGGGACCACAAAATAGTTAAGAGGACCATTTGGTTTTTTTTTAGTTATTTTTACGCTGTGGCACATAAAAAAGGCCACCAAAATAATGCGGTCCCGGGCCCTGAAAAGTCCAACAAGATTCAACTAATAAAACTAACGCTAGATGATTTATTTATAAATAAAAGTTTTTTCAATAACTATTTTATGCTTCGTGTAGTTTGAAACACGTTTTAAACAATTCTTCTTAGTAAGATGAACAAATGAAATAATTAAATCATTGAGTTACTGTAGAAATTCAATTAGCTAGATAGAAATTAACTAAAAACGTTAAATCACTTTGTAAGGAGGAAGCGGAACTACTTCACAATACCACTGATGATGTTTAGTGAGTGGGCTTTATAATTTTAATTAGTATTTAAAATTGAAAAAAGTAACTTTAAGTTTAAGTACAACGACTTTGTAAGAATGGCTGAAGCAAAAATAATTGAAGTTAGTAAACCATTTTCTAAGAACATAAAAACTTTTCTTTCTTGGGGAAAAGAATCAGTTATCAGGTACACTGAGGAAAATGGATTAATGGTTAAAATTATTTGTATTAACTTTGATGATTATTAATAATTTCATTGAAAACGCAGTTATTATTGAAAGTATTTTTGTTTACAAAATCAATCGCACAAATTGCTTTAAAAGATTACATTTGCATAAAATACACAGACATAAAATTACATACATAAAAAATACATTACATACATAAAAATACATTACATACATAAAAATACATTATATACATAAAAAATACGTCCTTTATAGATATAAAAAATATATATATATAAATAATATACTAATAAAATCTATAATATATTTACAAACAGGGCCGTCCCAAAGAGATATTAAAGGGGAAGGAGGGGGTAACTTGTCTGTTTTTTGCAGACTAAAGCCAAAAAAATTTTTTTTTGCCCAGTAACTTATCTAAAAAAAAAAAAAGAAAGAAAAAAGGTCTTTGTTTTACAACATTTGTCGACTGGTAACTATAAATACAATTTTGCCGACTACAGTGTCCATTTTGCCGATTAATAAAATTCGTAGGGAGCTAGACACCCCCTGTGCCCCCCCTCAGGACAAACCTGTTTGTAAAACATTGACAAGTTGAAAAAATATAAATTTAAAACATTAATTTTTGTAAACAAATAATGTTAGTTTAAAACATTTATAGCTTTATAGATGTGGCTTCGAGAATTAAAATAATAGTTTTTAAAACAATTTATGCAAGAAATCTCAACGAAAACATAACAAAACTCAAATAATACAATTTTGTTTAAATATTTCAACAGAATACTCTAGAACATTCGGTTAGTATTTTTTGAATACTCTAGAAATTTTGGTTAGTATTTTTTGAACTAATAAAATTAGTTGTTAGTTGTGTAGATTTATAGTTGTAAAAAATATGCAGTTTTATTATATATATATATATATATATATATATATATATATATATATATATATATATATATATATATATATATATATATATATATATATATATATATATATGTATAATATATATATATATATATATATATATATATATATTATATATATATATATATATATATATATATATATATATTTATATAAATATATATATATATATATATATGTATATATATATATATATATATATATATGTATATATATATATATATATATATATATATATATATATATATATATATATATATATATATATATATATATATATATATATATATATATATATATATATATATATATATATATATATATAAGACTAGGTCAGCCCAAAGACAACAAACTGTCTCTATAACCTTTGTCAAGTTGACACTTTTCATAAGTCGAGAGATTTCCTGTTGACTTTACGTTTGAATGAATTTTAGTAATGATTAGTTCAATGGAAATTAAAAAAAATATATAACATTGTAATGTCTAAATTATACTCAAGAGATTTCTATGAAAAACATTAACAAAAAAAAAATGCAGAAAACTATAAACAATAACTTTTTTTAAAAGCGCGTATGTTTACTCGTGTTACATATACGATCTATAGGTCGATAGTTAAGAGATTGCATTTTTTGTTTGAAATATAAAGATATATTTATTATAATTTTTGTTTAAAATATAGATAAACTATTTAGTTAAAATAATATACAACCAGTTTAAAAATAAAATTAACATTTAGACATTATATAATATGTTATTTTTCAACTATAAGTAGACTTATTCTACTGGTAAATCTTGCGTCAAGTCAACAATAATAAATATATAGACTTGTATTTTAATATTTCTATGTTTTTATGAATTTTTTAAATATAAATTATAAAAAAATGACAAATAAATTTTAAAATATGGGTATAAAATTTATTTTATACTATTTCTACGACATCAAGTTGAAATATATGTGCATGCATTAAAATCGCTAAGTCGACAAATTTTCTATTTCTTTTTAAAAAAGCGCTTAATTGATCAATTAAATTTTTTTTCTATACAAATACTTAATCTACGCAACATCTGTTAGTGAAAAATGAATTAAAAAAGAAAATTTATTATGTCGACTTATGGTGTAAAAAATAAGCGCTGTCGACTTTGAGTAGACCCAGGATATATATATATATATATATATATATATATATATATATATATATATATATA